GAGACGCACACTTGAGTCCCGATATAGCTACCAAGAACCGACGGTGGTAAATGTTTTGACTTTGCCGTCGCGTTCATCGAAACCCCTATGACGGATAATGGCAATACATTATGTACCACCAAAAGTCATCACCCTGACCGAGGCCTACTACCGAGACATAATTGCGCGCGTTTTGGTCCATATCAATTTTTCAGAACCATTTGATATTCAGGCTGAAGTTAGACAAAGCCGTATCCTTTGGCCCGTTATATTCAACTATGCTTTTGACCGGATTCTGATTAAGGCCTTTTACGAAGAGAACGGCGTTGAGATTGCAAGCGGACGCCAGGTGACTGATCTCGTCTACGCTTAAAAAGAAGAGTTAGACAGTTTTAAATACTTATTTGGCTTCGAATTCTGTCAATTGAAAGGTCAGGTCAGACCTAGGAGTTGATCTTCTGTTTATGTGAGTAGATGGGCCGATAGATGAACTAAAACTCAACACCCCCGGATACTACTTACTGCAGCCTCTGGTGTCTGAAAAAGATTAATCGACCACCGTTCTTTTATGTGAATTCTTGGTGTTTTGTTGGGTTGCAAGTTCGTGCGGGACACGCATAAACGGGCAAGCTAGCTCTGTCAGGCAATTTCATCGAGTCTATAATCGGTTGGGCTACCATTTGGGAGGCAGAACTGCTGTTTGGAAGAGGAAAAGATAATTAATTTTATCCTCTATGCGCTGGCCCTCGAAGAAGCAACGCTGATGCATCATTTATAGCGAGCTAAATCCATGTTCTATTAGGCTTTTAACTGACATGAAAGCTCGGTCCTCCTTTAAGGCAAGGAGTTAGGTTCCGGTGACTAATTCTTAATATAGCGGGCTATTCAAGTGAAACAATGTTTTATTCCTCCCCCCAAATAAATGTTCACAGATATTGAGATAGAACAGAAAGATCGAACTGTGAGTGCAATACGAAGCCACCAGGCAGTTATTGGACAAGGCAACAGGACTAATCAAAAACACGAAAACCATCCCACTGAATAGTGAACGGGAACGACCTATTAAATCATGTATTTACCATTTTTGTCTATCTCCGATGATGTGCTCAAGTACGAGTGTGAAACGTCAGATGAGTAAACCATCCTCCCCAGAGATCACCTTACCTTCTTATCTATATCTATATATATATATATATATAT